AAAAAAAAAGAAAAATTAAAATTTATTGCAATAATTTGTATAAGTATGATGTAGCCCTCTGATCATTTAGATTTAATCCCTACTAATACTGCACTGGGAGAGGTTTAATAGTTGCGTTAATGGAATATGCACTACTTTTGTGATTTATGTTCAAATCACTGATTAATAGTACGTTGGATGGAGAAAAGAAAGTTCACTATGTGGGAAAATATTTAGAGTAACACATGTTATATTGTAATAGTTATATATGTAAATTAGATGGATTATTTTTATGATGTAGCACTAAAAAAAAAAAAAAAAAATCATAGATATAAGTTACACTTACATAAATGGATTAACTAAAAGTTAACTATAGAGAGTAAATCACTGAAACAGTAGGTATGATCATTGGATTGATTCAAGGACACTTTTAAATACCTTGAACTATGGAAATTTCATTAATAATATAGAACGATAAAACACGTGTATGTGGGTATAAGGAAAAGAAAAAAAAAAAAGACAAGTTTTGAAATGTTTGTAGTAATAAATTCACAAATAGTTTTAAGTTAGAAGTTTGGGGAAAGATGGTAGGAACTCTTAAATATTGTGAAGAGGACAGAATTGGATAGCTTCTTTAGTACATATAGAAGAGACTAAAATGTTGATATAGTAAAAATCCTGTAATCAATTGATGTTTGTTGGGGGGAAGTATTGGAGTAAGATGCGGTATGGCAGAACACGAAGATAATAGATTGAATTAAGGGACGTTCCAAGCTCAGCTTTTATTCTTTTTTCCTCATTTAGGAAATTTCTATATGAGGACTAGATTCCAATTAGGGGATTTTTCCCTTTTGGATCTATACCCAGAGGTTAATACCCTGGGAGTGTTGAATGAATGCCTCTTGTATATGAGAGGATGGGGTATGTTTGGTATGCATGTGATAGTTGGAGTGGGGGCTCATCTACAGAATAGAAAGAAGCTTAGGGAAAGTTCAACGAATATAAGGACGATGGATACCAGATTTGGAAGAAACCTAGGAATAGACTAAAAAAGAGTAATGGTTAAAATAATATCGTTAAATGTACAAGGTCTAAATTCCCCTAGTAAACGAGCAATTTTGTTTGATTACATTAAGAAAGAAAAAGCTCACATCATCTTTCTACAGGAGACACACTGGAAGAGAGATGATAAGTTAAGATTTACTCCACAAAGGCTTTCAACAGTAATATCTGCCACATTAGAGAGTCAGAGAAAAAGAGGTGTAGCCATTATGATAAGTGACGATCTGGATGCTAAAATCATATACCAAGAATTAGATGAAGAAGCTAGATATATTATAGAAATAATCAATATTCAATCAGAAATATATACGCTTGTAAATGTATATGCGCCTAATAACCCTTCAAATAGATATTTCTATGATCTTTTTGATAAAGTAGATAAAATAAAGCAGGGTAAATTACTCTTGGCAGGTGATTTCACTCGGATACTAGATGTAAATATGGATAGGAAAACTTTAAACCCTGAAGGATCAATTAAAGTAGTAACTGCACAAGCAGTACAATTTCAAAGGATAATTAAGAAATATGGACTTATGGATATATGGCGAGTGTTTCACCCACTGGAGAGGGATTTTACATGCTTCTCCAGATCATATTTCTCATACTCAAGAATTGACTTATTTCTGAGCAATGTTGGATTTACTAATAGTACTAAAAAAGTCCTCATAGATGAAGTAACTTGGTCCGATCATAATGCCATGATCTTGGAGTTGGATATAGTGAATAATAGGGCAAGAAGAACTGATTGGAGATTAAATGATAATATTCTCTCCAGTAAGGAAAATAGAGAATATATAGGGGAGATGACAGAAAGCTTTTTTCAGGAAAATGAGGGGGGTGAAGTGTCACTTCCGATGGTTTGGAATGCATATAAATGTGTTATAAGAGGTTATTTAATTAAGCTAGGTACAATTGATAAAAAAAAGAAAGGAAGACCCTTAAAGGACTTGTATGTAGATTATTACAACTTATCGAATGAAAATAAAATTTTACCAACTCAGGAGAAAAGTATAAAAATGTTATTATTGCAAAATCAAATAAATGAATTACTATATGAGGAGAAAAAGAGAAATCTCCAATTCTTAAAGATTAATTGGTATTATAAGAGTAACAGGGCGGATAGGCTGCTTACAAATAAATTGAAAAAAAAAAAACAAATGAGGAGGATTCATAGAATTGAGGTAGGAAAAGAAACGTTATTAAGCCCGAAAAAAATTGGGTTAGCTTTTAATGAATATTATAGCCGATTATATAATTTAGAATCAGCTGGACAACAACCCATATCTTCGGAATATTTCAAAAATAAAAAAATGCCAAAAATTACTAGAGAACAACTTAATGAGATAAATAAACCAATAACTTCAGAGGAAGTTATAGTAGCCATAAATAAGTTACAGATAAATAAAGCTCCTGGCCCAGATGGTTATTCAAATAAATTTTATAAGATATTTAAAGATTCCCTGTCGTCTCGACTTGCTAGGATATTTAATACAATAGTGGATAATTGCACGTTCCCTAGGGAGATGCTTCAAGCGAATATTGTTCCTATCTTGAAGCCAGATAAAGACCCAGCTAAACTGGTGAACTATCGCCCAATATCTCTTTTAAATGGGGATGTAAAGATTTATGCTTCAATTATTGCAGATCGACTAAAAATATGTATTCCGACTTTAATACATCAGGATCAAGCCGGTTTTATTCATGGCAGAGCACCATCAGATGGATTAAGAAGAATAATAGATGTACAGGATGCTGCGACTAGGAAAAAAGTTCCCCTTCTGAACTTGTCATTGGATGCTGAGAAAGCGTTCGACAGGGTCAGTTGGGATTTTTTGGGTAACACTTTAAAATCATACGGCATAGTAGGAACAGTCTATGATGCCATTATGGCACTATACACTGTCCCTTCAGCAAGGACTATAGGCCCTGGGATAGAGGCATATTGGTTCTCTATTAAGAACGGAACCAGGCAAGGATGTCCTCTTTCCCCGTTACTTTATGTTTTAACCATTGAGCCTCTTGCAGAAGATATAAGGCAAAATGGCAAGATTGAGGGTTTCTGGTTTAAACATTTAGAGCATAAGTTCAATTTATATGCTGATGATGTTATGCTTATGGTGCAGAATCCTAGATCATCATTGCCGGAACTGATAAGAACACTAGATTATTACAGTGAATTTTCAAATTATAAATTAAATATTAATAAAACTACAATAATGACAACTAATCTACCTAGGGAAGATAGGGATTTTATTAAATTATCTTATGATTTTGTCTGGGTTAAGGAACATATCTCATTTCTTGGAATAAAAATAACAAGAGTTATAAATAGAGTTATCGAAGTTAATTTCCTCCCTCTTTTAAAAAATACAAATAAAATATTAAAAGAATGGGCGGGTAGGGAGATTTCTTGGATAGGTCGTATAAATACTATTAGATCATATATTTTGCCTAAATGGAATTATGTTTTTAGAATGATACCTATACAAGTTCCTAATCTCTGGTTAAAAATGATACAGTCAGCGTTTTTTAAATTTATTTGGAAAGGTAAAAAACCAAGAATAAGCCTACAGTTAATATCTAAGAAAAGAAAGGATGGAGGCCTTGCTGCTCCAAATATAATAGAATATCATCACGCATGTATGCTGTTAATACGTTAAGTACAGACCAAAAAGATCAATCTTGGTATCATATAGAGCAATCACTAGTAGAGACAAGCAGCCTATCCTCCCTGTTTTGGACAACAAGGAGGAATCAAAATAAAAATAACTTGGTCCACCCAGAAAATTCTACAATTTTAGATAGTATACTGAAATTTTGGCAGAAATTTAAGAAAAATTATAAAATAGAATATAGAATATTCCCTTTTCTACAACTAGAGGTGATTAATTATAATATTGAAGATATTAATATCAGAGGTTGGATACAAAAAGGTATTAAGTATATTCAACAAATTATAGATATAAAGGATCTTAAGTCATTTTGCCATTTACAGGCAGAGTTTGGGATTGAAAGCAGGGAGGTATTTACATATCTAAGAGTTAAGTTTTTCTTGGCGAAATTCTTGGACACTCAGTTAAATAAAAATATAAGTAATATTAAGAAGATCGTAGAAACAAATAGAACCAAAGGTCACATTTCTAGATGTTATGAATTTTTAAAGTCATCTCAAAAGCTCTCTCCTAGGAAATCTAAGATTAAATGGGAAAAAGATTTACAAATAGTAATCTCCGAGCAAGACATGACAAACGCGATAGAGAGAGTTAATAAATCGGTACACTGCTTGAATATAGTAGAGAATTTTTACAAGCTCTTGAACAGATGGTATATGGTTCCAGAAAAACTGGCTAAAATATATGTAGATCAGAGCCCCTTTTGTTGGCGCTGTGAAGTTGCGATAGGAGATTATCTCCATATTTGGTGGCATTGTAAAGTTTTAACTAAAATATGGAAGGTGGTATATAAGCAGATTTATAATTCATGTCAGCTATATATACCTTTCACACCACAAAGTTTTTTGTTACATCTGGGATGGCCTATGCCCTTTGAGAAACGCATGTTGATAATACATGTTTTAATGGCAGTAAAGTTAGCTGTGGCTAGAAATTGGAAAAGTAAAAAAGAAACACACTGGAGGGAAATTAAAACACAGGTTATTTACCAATGTAAGATGGAAAAGGGAATAATTCTAGGTAATTCTGTAGGTCTGAAGAAATACAGTAAATGGGAAACAATAGTTGATAATTTCATTATCAATTAAAGAACTTATAATTATAAGAATATGAGCCTTAAACGAGAGACTGATTCCCGAGGAACTTAAGTAATAATGCACATTCTGCAAGAAGAGTAAAATGAATAGTATAAGTCTGGCCCCTCGGGAGTGTATGCATGAGTGAATGGAATGCTTTAGGTTTAAAAAAAAAAAAAAAAAAAAAAAAGTTGAGTTCTGCTCCTGATGCTGTATGTCGTCCAGTCATTGGGATTGAGGTTGGGATATTGTTGGAGTGTTTTGCCTGCTGGAAATATTACCTTCTGGATTTATAATACTTGTTCCTGAAGCATTACTGGGATCTAAAGTGGAGATAAGCTGTATAAGAGCAGCTCTCCGCTACAGAGACCAACCTCCAAGGTACAGGGCCACCCCTTTTATTGTGTATGATACACCTGTGTGTCTATATGTGCCTGTCTGTGTCAGTCTACGTTTGTCTATGCCTGTGTGTACCTATCTGTTAATGTCTATCTTTGTGCCTGTGTGTGTGTACTTATTTGTGCTTATGTATGCCTGTCTGTGTGTGTAGAAACAGTAGTAATGGGTCATCACTGATAGAACAAACTGGTAAAAGTGAAATTAAGGCGGCTTTCCTCCAAAAGGAAGGGAATCCCTATATCCATATAGTAGTAAAGCAAGTACAAAATATAAAAAAGTGTAGAGGATTAGCGCCACTCTAAAAAGACACTGGTGAGAATTTTATAACCAGCATAAGATACCTTAAATAGGTCTACAATAGAAAGATTCACTTAAACAAAATGGCATAGGATAAGAGACCTGAAATGCAAATAAATATAAAATAAGATGAACAGAATATTAAAAAATAAAATATTAAAATTAAATATATGTCCAAGATAGAGAGTCCAATAAAAGATGATGGTATTTACTTTCCGGAGGAGCAATCACAAACTTGTTCAAGGAAAACATTTTTGTTGGGATATCAGATGCGGTCTTTATGTAGAAAGAAAGAGAGGATAATGGTGCAGTATGTCCAGAAAATATAAAAATAAAGTATACATGCTCCTAATCACGTTTTTGAGAGCTTTAAACCAGATCTAGTATGAAAGGCGTACAGTGGTACAATCCCCACTTATAGGATACGTGAAGAATGGTTTCAATGATGTGTGGACCAATAAATAAAAAGAAACAACAATAGTGCTCACTGTATAAAATCAACCAGAAGAATAAATAAGAGAATATTACTCACATTTACCAGAGCAGACAAAATGCTCTATGGATGGGGCCTGGGTGGAATTATCCCACCTAAGGATTTCTTGAGTAGTTCTTAATCAGGATACCAGGCAATAAAATAATAAAAAAATTATAACGGAGTAAAATGAGTAAAATGGCACACTCAATGTAAAAGTAGCCAAAATACCTTTATTTACACAGTAGTGAAACAAATTAAAAGTCTACAACGCGTTTCACAACAAGGGGCTTCTTCAAGTGTACATAGTATTAGCCTGGCACATGTGGGTTTATATAGGGTCCAAACAATCAGCAAATTGAAATTGGTGTCTTATTGACCTTTGACCCTAAATGAGGTCACACGACATGTTTAAAAGTTCAAAAGACATATTAGCAGGAAGTAGATAAACTAAAAACGATGTTACATAGTGGACTCAGCAAGCATAAATTCAAGCTGGAGAAACAGCTCAGTAGACCTATGCACCAGCAGAATATGCCCAAACCTTGAGGGCCGCAACTTCAAATCCCCCATCCCTCCAAGGCACACAAAACCAACACAGCAAAGCAATATCTTGTAATTTGACTCATAACTCTCTGATTGGTGAGGGCCAAGGGGGAAACATAGAAACATAGAAACATAGAATGTGACGGCAGATAAGAACCATTCGGCCCATCTAGTCTGCCCAATTTTCTAAAAACTTTCATTAGTCCCTAGCCTTATCTTATAGTTAGGATAGCCTTATGCCTATCCCATGCATGCTTAAACTCTTTTACTGTGTTAACCTCTACCACTTCAGCTGGAAGGCTATTCCATGCATCCACTACCCTCTCAGTAAAGTAATACTTCCTGATATTATTTTTAAACCTCTGTCCCTCTAATTTAAGACTATGTCCTCTTGTTGTGGTAGTTTTTCTTCTTTAAATATAGTCTCCTCCTTTACTGTGTTGATTCCCTTTATAT